CACATCTCTCAACACCAAGCTGGTTTCTTGATGCTTTCCCTTCTAATATCTAATTTTGTTTTGAATTATCAGGTCAGTTTTGTTAATTAAAGACATAGTTCTCCTGAAAATGAAATTTTGCTGAAAATGTATTCACACTCAGGCCATTTAAGATGTAGATTTGTTTGATTCTTAACAGATTTGGACAAATTTAGATTACTTCACTTGCTCAACAATGAATCCTCTGTAGTGAATTGGTGCCATCAGAATGAGTTCAAACAGCTGATAAATACATCACAATGATCCACACGACTCCAGTTCATCAATTAACTAACATCTTATGAAGTCAGAAGCTTGATCTGTGCATTATTTCTCTCCTGATTCAGATAAGACTTTTTCACTGGAGAAAGCAATATTATGGACGCAATACTATCCATTTTATGTTTGGATGAACTATTTCTTTAGTTTAAACAAAAATTTGGTTCTCTCTTGATGTGCTATTCTTTGTGTTTGTGTTCATATGTTTATATATTGCTTGTTTTGTTTGGGTTTCTATTGTTGTCATTGTTATACATATTTGTTTTGTCTACTGATCGTTATTCAGTGTATGTAAAATGCTTTATTGGCGAGTTTCCATTGTGGAAGCTAGTTGGACGATTTTTGTTTTCTTTGCCCCAGGCTGTACCATCACTTATTTTGACTCAAACACATTCAGTGGTTTTGTTTCAAATATTTTTCTTTTCCATGGTGTCCTTTTTAAAATGTTTTCTCTTTCTCCAAGCCATTACATAATCCCACCCACAGCATATGTGAGACGGCGTAATTGGTTGGGTCTGGTTTTAGTGAGAGATTAGCTACTAGCAGTATTACCATTAGTTCTTAGTTGTGTGACATTGTTAGCATTCACTATTACTTGAATGTTTTTCATTAGTTATGGAAATGTTACTTCTTATATTAGCTCTTATCCTGTGATTATCCTTAATGAAAGTTGTATCATATTTTGATAAACTATTCAGTGCACACTAGTATTAATTAAAGAGCCAAAGATAATTGAAATATGGATTTTGTGGTGTCGTCTTGGCCAACACGTCATCACTGCTATGAGCCTGTTGGCCCCAGCAGCCTGAAACTAGTGCTTATGATTGTTAACTATGATTAACTATGAAGACTCTTTATCTTTGACACAGACTGCCATTACTTTAATTTTCAGTACAGTTGTTGATGAAGTCTTGTATATGAAGTCATTACATTATCTTTGTGATCACATGATTATTTTTGGGATATCGGGTATAGGTTCTCCATGTTTTTTCCTCTCTCGTTGAACAAAGTGAAAAGTCATAAATTTACTTTTTGCATTGTACAAGAAAGTCTTAATTATGATTTCAAGAGGTCTTAAATTTGGGGACAGAAAGACCAGAATTGCGATATGGCTGAATGTGACGATTAAACTTCAAAAGGCTATGATTTCATTGACTAAACACGAGCGCTGCACGTTCAAAGTCCGGTGCTGCGCTGCTTTGTGTTCTGCCGTTACCGGGAAAACGGTTATATTTCTACCAAACGCTCCACCTGCTGTCAGAATGAATGAGCATTTTCAATAAAACTGTTGTTTTGTTCAGAGTTGAGACCAATGCGAAAATCGACCCATGTTTTTACCCTGCAAGCTTTAAATGTGAACTGGTAGATCGATAAGAAGACAATGCATTATAAAAATCTAAACAGTATAGGGGTGTGCGATATATATGGTCTGCGATATAATATCGTAATTGTTGTTTTAAGGTTATGCAATTTGATTTTATCGAGTATAGGGCTGTGCGATATTGAAGAAAAATGCGATATGCGATACCTTGTTAAAAATGCCAATTGAGGTTATTCTTTGTTATAGCTGTTTTGTTTGTTTGATTAATATTAGTGACATATTCAGCAGCACGTATTTATAGGCTGCTGTCCCTTTAAATCCGACTGCACGGATCCAGTATAATGATACACATCCGATTTCTTTCTCAGCTGTTTACATTAATTTAAAACATAACCGACTGCGTTTACGAGAATGATTGTCAAGACGGGTACTATTGACATAATTCTGTGTGTATGTGTCTGTTCAAACATGACGAGATGCGAAAGACGAATCAACTTGGTGTTCACGTGCCGTCTGAAACGTGTCTCTCTGTGTGCGCGCGCGCTTTGCACGTGTGCGGCAGAACTGAAGATACGCTGTGTGAGATGCGGCTGGCTTGCGATATGCATATTGCGATATTTTGTTAATTTCGATATATCGTGCAGCCCTAATCGAGTATATTGCGAAAAGCAAACAAAACACCTACAGAATGCGCGCATACATTACGTGATGAAGTCTAGCAGGTTAGACTAGTGCGCGTAAGCATTTATAGTGCGTTCTTTCACTGCATTAAATCAGTCTATTAAAATGCATTTAGAATTATCACATAATTCAAGATATGGGGCAAAAAATTTATGTATTTATATAATTTCATATAGTTAATATCATACAAAGAATGCCGTTTTTTCTTCAAAAGTCAGCATGATTACAAATGTAATATTAATTTTATACAACAGTTCAATAAACAAGAAGTTAATATTAAGAGACTTAAATTTTAGACACCATATTTCCATATTTCTCCAACAAAAATCATTCCAAACACAGCCACAGCACTGTTTTGCGTCTCTGAGCAACACGACAGTGTTTCGTTCCTGAATGAATCAACCGTTTGATTCAACCATGAATAGATTCGGTTCAATCGCAATGACTCCCTTAACAGTGACTTGCTGCCACCTACTGGCGGTTTTAATTTCACATTTTCATTTTTTAAATAATTTCAAACATCAGTTTTCAATGTTTTATGTTTAAAATATCAAAACATTATTTATGCATTTGTAACTGCAGGTTAAAGTATTTAATGTCCCTTAGAGCTGCATTAAACAGTGTGTAAATGCATCTAAATGACACTTCAAAAAAGATCAATTTTGTTGATACTGATTTCATTTGCTTGGTAACAGCCCAAATGCAAGAATTTGACTCAAAAGATGGTGCACACTTTTAGAAAAAATTGCTTAAAGGTAAAAATGCCCATAAAACTGGTTGGAAATGATTCATTTCTGTCACTGCTGTGAACTGACCACACAGAATATGAAGAATATAAAAAAATTCAAGAGTCAGCTGTCAGCACAATTAGATATAAGATATCAGCACAATAACACACTCTATAGCGTTATCGATAAGATCCCAGAAAATTATCGAGATATCATTTTTTGACAATATCGCAAACCCCTAATTTATGTTATTTAATTGATATAATTATTGTTAATAATTGTTAATAATTAATATAATAATTAATACTTTTGACTCTAAAAATGGTTTAAAGGCTGAAATGTAAAGTTTATCATTTTATAAAATGTTTGTTTTTGTGAAAACTTGTATCTGAACTGTAAATTATTCTTTTTACAGTAATTTTACAGTTTAATATGGTACTGTAGACATTGCCCTACCCCGCTCATATAGTATTAATTTTATTTGTGCAGGTCTTAAAAAGGTCTTAAAAAGGTCTTAAATTTGAGCTTAAAAATCCTGCAGAAACCCTTTTGACCTTAAAAGTCTGAGTTTGATCACACCACACCATTAGCTTGTGTTTGTGCGCTTTAGCCCAAATCTCTAATCTGATGACATTATCCTCTGTGGCTTAAACTGTTAAGTGCCATCCAGATTCACCATGCACATATTTATGTGAGCTCATTACCTTGTTTCAGATGGTGCAGTGATGCATGCTGGGATTCTTTGGCTTTGGAAGCTAGGACTGGACTGGTTCGCTTCACTTGCATTATAATTTATATTTAAAAAAAAAACAACAGCTTTGCAAAAATATCAAGAGAGCTTTCTCTCTCACACACACTTATATTAATGTGCTTAGTCATAATTAAATTACCCATGGGGCTGTTGTGTAACAGGTTTGATTGAATGACAAGCCGTAGAGTTCACTGTTTGGACATAGTCGTTCACTTCCTCCATCTCTCTTTAGCTCTCTCTGTTTTGTTGAGATCTTGTTGAGAGACCTGGTGGTAAAGTAAGTGTGAGTTCAGGTGTGTGTTGTAAGGATCTGGAATGTAGTTGTGCAGGTTCTTCTATAAATAAGTTTCAGGTATGAATGACTGTCTCATTCTCTCTCTAATCTGTCCCCTCTGTTTCCCTCTGACTGTGACTCTTATCTATTGTTTTAGTATCATAATGGCCCTCATGGAAAAAAAAATACTATTCTAATCCGTTCCTGTGAGCAATAGGGATGCATCGAAAGTTGAGCTGCCACAGATGCCATAAAACCACATTTTCGGTCTTCACTCAAACGAGCAAATATGTCAAAAATCTGGAAAAACGGAAACTTTAGCAGGTTGGATAACAGGCATTTTGACATGGAGAAAAATCTGTGTGCACATGATATATGTAATACATTTTAGGGTATAATTGTATTTCAAAGTCAGTATGGTTTGCGGTTTTCTGTACAGTTTTTTTTTAATACAGTTTCTATACAATAACATGTTTAAGCTTGTATTTTCATATAAAGTCACAATAATTGAGCCTGTAAGCAGCAGAATAAGTTGATTTTATCCATCTTCAGTTCTCTGTTATGTCATACTGCACTACTAGAGGGTGGAATAGTAGAGTAAATGTGTCCAGATGCAAACATTATATATATATGTATATAGTAGATTATATGTAGATTATATTCCTTCATTTTTAAACGGTGTTGCTAGGCACTCCAATTAAACCCTTAAGACTTTCTGGACCTTCTGTGTTTCTGTGCCTAGTTTAATTTGCTCCTTATTCCAGATCTGGTAAAAATTCTGTAAACTATTCCTCTGCCCACAAAACTCCTTTGTTGTTGCATTGCATTAAATTTGTTTAGTAAGTGTATTTAATCGCAAGTTTTTTACAATTTTAGCTTTGCTTGATTATTTGTGCTATATCAAACAACCATTTCTAACAACGATTGTCTCTCTCTCTTGTAATGCAGATTTTAGGTTCAGGGCAGGGCAGGCCTGGCTCTCCTGTCTACACAAACCTACAGGAGCTGAAGATCTCTCAGTCCTCCACCCCTCCATTGCCGTCCTCCTCTCCGCTCCACACCAATGGCGACTGGGAGACTCACAAAGATCAGAAAGGCAGACACTTCTACTACAACCGCAGCACGCAGGAGAGGACCTGGAAACCCCCACGGGCACGGGACAGCTTCACCAGGAAAGAGGAGAAACAAGACATGACTGACACTGAGGTACACACACAACACCCTCTGATTAGACTCAACACAACAGACAGTGATGCATGCACGCACAAACACACACGCATGTATTGGCTTCATCAGGGACAAAATATCTGTTGTGGTCTTGGTAAATGCATGATGGGATAGCTAAACTCTTTCGCAACCTAAGCTGTATATTTATATGCATGCAAAGCATTCTGGGTAATTGATTTTCTCTTATCTGGTGGGTGAAGGGTTGATTGACTGACTGGTGATTTATTTCTCATCTCTCTTTACCTTGTCTGCCTCTCTGAATTAACTCTTTTACTTTGTTTCTCTCTATATTTCTTTCTACTCGTCTTGCTTTTTTGTGATTGGCTGGGTGAAGTTTCTGTCCTCAGAGGAAAACTGTCTGAGCAGCCAATCAGACAGCCAGTACGGTTCGCCCCCTAGAGGCTGGTCTGAGGAAATGGATGAGCATGGACACACTCTCTATGTGTCTGACTATACTAATGAGAAGGTACAAAGACAAACTCAGTGTGTTTTCATGGTTGACTTTTTTTTGTCTTACTAAGCTCACAAATGGAGAAACGACTAACTTTTTAATCAACAACTGCAGGGTGTCCTTTTTAAGACTGCAGGTCTTAAAAAGTATTAAAAGTTGATAGAGAAAATTAAGGCCCTTAAAAAGTCTTAAATGCCATTTTCCAAGGTATTAAATTTTGTATCATCTTTTCATTATGTATATTTGTCCGAATAGTGGGGTTGTGTATTTTATTTATGGAATCCCGCAAGATTTGACTTCATCTGTTATGGCGCTCACTGACTGACTGCGCCGCTGTGTGATGGCACTGGGCTTGTTGATCCCGCTCTCGCTGAA